TTTTCTTAAATAGTAACATAGGGGCCAGCAGGTGGCATGGTATTTGGGGTGCTGGACTCCCACATGTTCGACCACAGTTTGAGCACCGAACTTGATGGCTTGCTTTCTCGCTTTCCCTCTCTGTCTCCTTCTGGTCAAATTACAACATAATGGGACAAGCAGTTAGCGTAATGGCTATGTCGCTGCATTCCCACGTAGTCAACTACGGTTCGTGTCCCGGACCCGGTGGCTTAAAACTCACGCTGGGCACGTGTTCATGCGTGCCCAAGGTCCCGAGAGGAGAACAGAGAAGGGATTGCGGCATGGCCATCCCCCTGGGGGGTGATTTCTCGCTTTCTGTCTCTCTGTCTCTCTCTGTCTGTGTCTGTCTGGCGAGCGCACGCGCCCTATAGCGAAAACCTCTCCAAAAAAAAAAAAACTACCCACAAATTACAACATAATAATAATAAATTAAATTAATTATTCTTTTTAAAAAATAGTAAATAAATATGATGGCATTAAATATTGGGTCATCAGGAAAGTCATGATGCAGTTTTGCATAGAAAAACATAGAAAAATATGTCATGACTTTCCCGATGAAAGAAATGCTAAAGAGGGCTAATTATTCATAGCATCATTCAGAAAAAGGGTCCAGACTTGAAAGAGAGTTTAGGTGCATTTCATCTTGAAGCAAGCCCTTTCCAACTGTTTAGGAGCCAATTGGAAGCTCCCAAGGCTGCTGGGGCAGGTCTAAGCCACTCCAAGGTCTTAGCAAGAAGTGATGACAGAGCCAAAGGCTGGGGTTTTGTGTTTCACTAAATCAGATTTAGGCTATGCGAGTCCTGATATTTACTCTGTTCCTACAACTTGTCTTCCTGATTCTTACTCCCAATAGCATCGATGCCGATTCTATTCAAGGAACACCTGGCATTTCTTGACTCTTCTCTGCAATATCCAACCTCTGATGGATAGTTTTAAACTCCGTAGCCCTCTCTTTCTCTTGCTGCTAAAGAGGTGCTTATATGCTCTTTCTGATCGTCCATACTCAGGCTTTTCTTGGCACCCATTCTACTCTACAAATTTCCCACTGCTTTGTTCTTCCCCTCCAGGGAGTCAAAAAAAAAAAAGAGTTACCAGCAGGTTCATCATCCTTTCAAATCATTATTTCCTTCTTGATGTTTCTTGAACTTTTGTGAAGATGAAAAGGGAAGGCCAAATGGGGGTTAAAGAGCATAGAGTCGTGGCCGACAGAGATGCAGATGTGAAACACTAACTACATCTTGGTTTCCGCTGTAAACCTCCAACAGCCCACGGAGCTCTGCACTCCCGCTCCCAGGAGGCCTTTCTGTGCCCTCCCAATCCAAAATCCTCTTGCAGTGCCTCAGTTTTTCTTTTGTGTAATCCCGTTCACTGCCTCCCTCCGCATGTTCTTGACTCCTAAAAACCACACTGGCACCAACTCACAGAAAACATGCCTCCCCCAACTCTGAAACCTGCCTGGGAGGCCAAATGCTCAGCTCTCAGGTTTCCACAGGAGCTGGCCCACAACTCTTCCACCTCAGGTCTCTCCCGACTAGCCTGTCTGATTTCCCAGCTGCAGTGTGGGCTTCTAAACAGAGAAGACAGTTTTTAGATTTTTACCTTATTTTTTTAAAGAATTATTTTATTTAGCTTTATTTATTTACTTTAATTTGACCAGAGAGGGACAGAGAGAGAGAGAGAGAAAAATTGAGAAAGCAAGCCACCAGATCCGGGGTGCGAACCACAGTCGGCCATGTGGGAGTCCAGTGCCCTTAACCACCACACAACTTGCCGGCCCCAATTTTTACCTTATTTTTATTCCCTTCCTTGCTTGTGCCAGGCCACTGATAATATCTCAACATGGCCTGCAATCCGGTTAGCAAGTAAACAATGGCAAAGATGGCTGTGGGTTTGAGGAATCCAAAGAATGGCAGGAGGATTCTGCTCAGGCTTAATGTATGTGGATAAACATCCCGTTCACATGGGGCAAAGAAATCCAAATATGGAAACTCTGATTGCTACCATCTCTGTAAAAGTTAGAGACCCTGTCGTCCTGGCTTCCTCAGAGCTTTTCAAGATGGAAGAGATGTTCTGGAAACTCACATTCAAGCCACGAAAAGCAACATTTATCATCCTGCTCCTATGTCCTTCTCCAATGGCCAAACTGGATAGTATGCATTATTCAACAACTTCAAACCTCTCAAGGTTCCATTTGGCTTTGCTATCCCACTTAAGAAACACAGTCACTGTCAGAGGTCAAAGCTCATTAGTGCTGGAACCTAAATTCAATGCCCTTGAGACTGAAAACGGAACTCTAGACAGGCCTTCTTGGCTTTGGTTAATTCATTAGGACTTCTGGGTTCCCAGCAAGAAGGTCTTACAAACTTAGGATCATTGTCACTATGAAAAGAAACCTGGCTGGAAGAGGGATCCTATAAATGAATGAGTGAAACTTCATCCAGGAAGAATTTCGTTATTCATCAAAGATATTCAGACAAACCAGTGGAGTCAAGTATAATCACACACCACTGTAACTGTAGAAATGAATGCAAGGATTAAAAAAGTGATGTAAGAGCATGGTAGAGGAATTCTGGAGGTGACTCTATCTTCCCTCAAAATCATGAGCTGTTACAACCAGAGATTATTTATGTCAATTGCCTCATTACCAATGAGAAAAGAGAGACCCAGAGAGTAAAATGAGTCTGTTATAGGCCTCATAGCTCACAACAATTCTGAAATTAAAACTCAAGTGGTCCTGGGGCCAGCAGGTGGCATGGTGACTAAGGCACTGAACTCCCACACGGTCGACTATGGGTCAGTCCTGGACATGATGGCTTAAAATTCCAGGAGGAGAAGAGATTGTGGCATGACCGTTCCCTCCCAGAAGAGGGGTGATTTCTCACTTTCCCTCTCTGTCTACCTCTGGTGAGGGCATACACCCCATAACAAAAAAAAAAAAAAAAGAAAGAAAGGAAGGAAGGAAGAAAACCAAGCAGCCCTTCTTGTATGCTCGCCTACTTTTTCAATTCTCACTGTCCATGAAAAGGTTCCTACCCTTCCTGGCATCAGTACAAAGACTGAGGAGGAGAGATGTCCCTGCATCGCTCCTCCATTGCTTGAACCAGTGTCTTGGCTGGACCAAAGGACAAACAGCAGGAGGAGGAATTAGAATGAGAATTACTGGCATTATCCAGGGTAACATGTGAATACCTCCGTAGTAAACTTGTATCCTTATATCTTACTCCAAAACAGTTGAGATAGACAGACACACACGCACACACGTGACATTTGTTCTCTGAATGGAAAGACAGCATCATGCACAGGAGTATTTCTCGTAGGATACGATGCATCCAGCCCTAAAGTCTTGTTAAAAGGCAGATTCTGATTTGGTAGGACCATGATGGAGCCTGAGATGCTGCACTTCTAATAAAGCTTAGGAAATGTCCAAGCCTCTGATATGAGAACCACACTCTGAGTAGCAAAGCACAGACACCTCAAAAACTTGAGCTCAAACAAATTTGGGTTTCAATTCTGGTTTGACCCTTTGAGAGCTCTGTAATCTGGGGGTGGTTCCCAAGCTTCAGCCTGCCTCTATCTGGTCATCTCGATAATGGAGGAGTAGTACCTAAGAAGCACTTGATGTTGATTACATAAGCTAATGAGGTAAAGCTCTTAACACAATGCCTGGCATACAATAACAGCTCAATAAATGTCAGATGCTGGCTGCCTCTAAGGTTTGTAAGGGCAGGAACAGTAACTGGCTCACTGCTAAAACCACAATAGTTTCAACGCAGTAGGTGCTCAATGAATGTTGGGTGAATGAATGAATGAATGAATGCATAATTCACCCACATGTAATATTGGCATTTACATACTCCTTGGTTCTGTGGCTTTTCCGCAGGATAACATAAAACATTTGGAACACCAGAACACCCTCACCAGTAATAAACCATCATTTCACAGAACGCAATTTAACCCTAACCACCATGTTTAACCACCAAGAAACATGTCATTTGTGGTGGCTATCTATGCTTGAGAAAATGGTTTAGCTGTAAATAAATAAAGACAACATCAGTCTGGAATCTGTATGTCATTAGGAGAGATTACTGCCTCGCTCATTATTTATGGGCTGTCTGAATGCAGATGTTACAAAAAACTTAATTCTAAAACTAAATGCAATTCCAAACCAAACTGAGAACTGATAAGAGAAAAAAAAAGAGAGGAGAATGGAGGAGAAGGGATTGCGGCATGACCACCCCCCTTGGGGGGTGATTTCTCGCTTTCTGTTTCTATGTCTCTCTCTGTCCGTCTGGTGAGCGCACGCTCCCTATAGCAAAAACCTCTCCAAAAAAAAAAAGCAAAAAAAAAAAAAAAAAAACCACACACACACACACACACACACACACACACGGGAAGTGAGACTGTATTTTAAAGGGCCACTGGTCAGGATCCCATTCTCTAACAAATTCGTATGCTTGCTCAGAAAATTTAGAAACAGAAGAACTGTTAACAAATGGCAGAGCTTCATCTTTTACATCACAGGCAGACACGTGAGACCATGTAAAATTCTTCAACAATCTAACATTCTCATCAGGTGTCTCGTAAAGTGAGTGGCATCATCGGAACAGATCCCACGTCCAGGGAGGCTGTGTAAGGTACGCAGCAAGAAGAGAATACGATTGCCACCTACAGACAGAAGTGGCACTCCCGTTGCAAGAGCTGGCCAATCATATTTGAATGTGAAAAAAAGAAATCCAACTAAGTCACCTCCCTCCAACCTCTTTCAAACCACCACACCACATTACTTCATTTAGAATTACTTTCAAGACAGACAATCATCTCTAGGCATTCTGCCTCTTCATTATCATCATCTTATTTCTAACTTCCCAGAAACACTGTGCCATTCAACTCTCTACTTAGGTACTATTTGAGAGCCAAAGAGAATCCAAGCCAACAGATTTCAAGCAGCAAAGGCCTTAGAGTGGAATAAATCTCCTTACCTGATATGAATGGGACCACTCGGAATATATCTGACAACCTGCTGTTAACTGGCTCATATGGGGAATCTTCCAGTAGATCATTTCCTAAGAACAACAAAAAGACTGGGTTTAGATCTGAAAAGCAAATATATTTCAAACAGGTTATTGGGTTTTGTTTTGTTGTTTTGTTTTGTGTTTGCGGCTGAATCTGAATTCTAATTCTGTTATGATTGTGTAACAAAAAGATGCTGAAACTTTCAAAGATTTCAAATGCATCTATTTGGCTCCGGTTGTCTTTTCATTCCCTCTGCCTTTGTTGTCCTTGTTCTCCCCAGGGTGTCATGCAAACATTGGAGAACAACACAGTGGATCTTGCCAGAAAACTCTCCCACTCTTTGCAGAGGAAAGCTAGTGACGTCACATGCCCAATTTGCCTCCAAGAGCCAATGGGAGAAAGGTGACCCAGAAGAGGCCCCCATTTCTGTTTGCTCCCCAAACACGGAATGCATTCAGAAAGCTGGTACCTGGCTATTAAACACTCCATCCCTGAAATAGTTTTCATTACTGGATTCTGGAAGAAGTGGCAGCTGAGAGGTCAGATCTGTACGTTAGAAATTTGGGGTGTGAGTCTCAGTAGAGAATGAATGCCACGGATGCTTGTATGATTGTAGATTTACAAACATGAGATGCCTCTGGCAGAAAAGAGCCAACGAATTCCCAATGGAATGGATGGTGGTGACAAGGGGCTCTTTCTCTCCTTGAGCTTGCTGGTATGTTAACCAAGGTTGAACCACACCAGCTGGTTTAAGACACAGCTAATCTGAGATGACAAATGGTTTTTCACACATCTGCCTTTGATCATGTTTGAGGAGGGGTAAAGACAGAATGGATTCTACAGACCTTTCATGTTTCTTTATCTTATGTCAGAATAGGTTGGAGGGAAGAAGAAAAGGGGAGCACCCAGGCAGGATGCTGGAAAAGCTCGTGTATTACTACTTGGTGAAGTCGTTAAAGTCTCAGCCTGGCTCTCCTTGGAGAGTTGTGGGTTCCTTGGGTGGCGTTTAATGAGCTCCTATTCCACTCTTCTGACCAGACTTCAGAGAGGTCAATGGGGTCCAAGGATGCCCCCCCACACCTCCTCATGGGTTTCCCAACAACCAGACCCAACAATGCTGCTGGGCCTCAGCAAACACCAGCTGCCTCTGTCCCAGGGGGCCAATGAAAGGTCTTCATTCCGCAGCTGGGGAGAAGTGAGTGGAGGATGAGATCAGCGGGCCTGGGGATCCTGGGGCCCGCTGTCTTCAGGGAAGGACGAGGGGGTGGGGGGCCGGGACAGTCAGCGTACCCTGCAGGCTCTGGTACATGCTCCAGTAGATACGCAGGCAATTCTTCTCCTTCTTCATTCCCCGTTTGCAGCGGCAGTTGTAGAGCGACTTCTGCTTCAGGGCCTCCATGGCGCTGCGGCACTCATCCTTGGCCTCGAGGCCGGATGCCAGGCTGAAGTTGGTCTCCTTGCCGGCCACACACTGCCTGAGCGTGCGGTACTTGGTGCTGCAGCTCTGCTCCTTCAGGCACTGGTCGCTGGCTTTCACGCAGTCCAGGCGGTCCCCGCCGCTCACCTCGGCCGACAGGAGCAAATCTGCGAGGTGGAGGGGAGGGAGCCTGAGTGCCACGGGGCGGGATCCGGACGCCGCCACCCAGAACGAAGGCGCGCGCCAGAATGGGGATGCTCCATCTACAGCCTGGGGCGCCCTGCGCGGGGAGCCTGCTCACCCCTCTAGATCCGAGAGTCCATTTGGCCACTTTGGAACACCCCACCACCTGCCCCCTGTCCCCGGCCGACGGGGTTAGGTGGCTCAGGCTCAGTCCTCCGGCTTTGGGCGGTCTGCCCCAGAGACTGTGCTGTGCACTAGACGAGCCCACCCCGCCGCTCCCCGGCACCCCAACGCGAGCGGCTTCCCGGCCTCCACGCCGACCTCAGCTCCGATCTCGCTCCGACCACCCGAAGCCCGGGGACTCGGAGGAGCTCGGCAGCAGGGTGGGCGCCAGGCAGGAAAGCCCGGGTTCGCTGTCGGCCGGGCGGAGAGCGCTGAGCGGCTATTCGGGGAAAAGTTTTCCCCTCGAAGTTTGCTTCCCTGGATGCTCGCCCACACTCCACCTGCCTGCCGCGTCTCCCTGGCTCCCCGGCACTCGCCATGGGGTGTCCGGCCCGGGGCTGGAGGGCTGACTCCTTAGCGGCTCAGCAGGCTGGGTCATTAGAAATGCACAGAAAATAAAACCAAATACAAAAAGCTGCAGGCAGTGCCGCGACGCTACTGCCTTCTCAGCTAGGGGGTTCGCGCTCCCCTTCCCCCAAGCGAAACTTCTTCCTCCCGCACCCACCACACCCGTGCAGCAATTTGTGGGGGCTGCCGCAAAAGACCCCCAGAGAGACTGTGCGACTGAGAAAGCCCGCGGCGACCTCAACTTACCCAGGAGCGGCAGCGCGAAGTACAGGGTCGCCAGGAACATGGTGCCGGCGCGCAGCTGGTCCCCACCCCCCAAAAAATCCC